ATGGACATCCCTTTCCTTGGTGAGATGCCCCCAGAGGTAGGCGTCCAGTTCCGTGCCCTCCGCAGTAACCGGCATTCGCTTCCTTCAGCTTGCAGGCTGAGCTCGTCTGCTTATCATCCTTGGAGGACACCTTGGCGGAGAGGGACAGTGCCTGGCACAGGTGGTGCCTACGCTGCGTGGTTAGGAGGAGGGGGGTCTCCTCCATCCCCCGACAGGCGTGTCGAGTCCTTTCCCATCCAGCACACAGGGGACAGTGCCTGGCACAGGTGGTGCCTACGCTGCGCGGTTAGGAGGAGGAGGGTCTCCTCCATACCCCGACAGGCGTGTCGAGTCCTCGCCCCACTTGGAGGCGTCCTTTCCCATCCAGCACACTAGCACATCGTCCGCCCCTTGTGGGAGCTGAGGTGATGCGTGGATTTAGGGGAGGGAAACTTGGGAACTTGAGGTTTCTAAAAACTTTTTAACACATCTTAAAGATGAAGGGACTGAGGCGCAGTGAAGGAAAGTGAGTAGCCCACAGTCACAGACCAGGTCGTGGCAGAGCCGAGCCCGGAACCTGGCCCTCCTGACCGCCGGTCTCAGGCTCCCGGACACCGTGGCCCCCGATGGCAGGCAGGTGGGCCTCGGTGTCTGGACTCAGCCAGGCCTCAACCAGAGACCAACTTGCACTTAACTCACGGCCTCAGAGTGCCATCTGAATGACAGATGGCACTGGGCCTCTGACCCAGCGGGTGGGAGGAGGGCTTCAGGTCCCAGGGGACAGGGCCACGTCCGAGGCTCGCCTGGGCGACTTCGGGAGGGACTGCGCCCTGCTCCTCTCTGTACCCTGCACCTAGGAGAATGCTGCCGCAGCAGGGACTCGTCGGGGGGCGCTCGAGGGGCGGAGACCTGTGCAGCCGCTGGCTCTGACGTCCCTTTTCTGGCTCCACCACAGCCCATGCTGGTCGATGAGCTGTATGAGCTGGTGGTGGACGCCATCTTCGGCTTCAGCTTCAAGGGTGACGTGCGGGAGCCGTTCCGCAGCATCCTGAGCATCCTGAGCGGCCTCACGGTGCCCATTGCCAGCATCGACATTCCCTCAGGTGCTGGGTCCAGGAGGTGGGGGGTGGGGTCGGGGCCCCACTCTGTCCTGAGGCGAGTACCTAGGAGTCTGATTCTTGGCCCAAGACTCAGACCAAGTAGAAAGTGAGTCTTGGGGTGCAGAATACGGCTCTCTGCGTCCCACGACAGAGCGGGGTGCAGGATTCAGGGCACCCTTTCCGTGTGGCTCCGAGACCGAGGCTCTGCGGATGCGAGGTCCCCGGGTGGTCCGCAGGGCTGGGAGGGGACAAGGCGGGCCGTCGCCGCCCTCCCTGAACGCAGCCTCTTTCAGGGTGGGACGTGGAGAAGGGCAGCGCTGCGGGGATCCAGCCGGACCTGCTCGTCTCCCTGACCGCACCCAAAAGGTGTGCCGCCCAGTTTGCCGGTCGCTACCACTACCTGGGGGGCCGTTTCGTGCCACCTGCTCTGGAAAAGAAGTACCAGCTGAATCTGCCCCAGTACCCTGACACGGAGTGTGTGTATCGTCTGCAGTGAAGGAAGGAGCGGGTGCTCCCCCCAGAACTGGGGGGTCCTGGGGACTCTCTGGCAGTGAAGACTAATGGCTGGTGGGTGCCAGAGAGTGACACTGGAGACACAGCGTCCTCTCGCGGGGGGAGGGGGGACACGGGCAAGAGGCTGCTGTGGTATTTGGGGGCAATGAAGATTGACTTTCAGATGCTTTTCTGAAAGAGGCTCCTAGGTGGTGTGCGTGTCCTTTACATGCCATGTGATTCTCCAGTAGGGATGCAGCGGGGCCGGACCTGGTTCTCTGGGCTTCCCCGCCACTCAGCAGGGTAGCAAGACCACAGGCAGCTAATGGGGGTTTCTTCAGAGGCCCCCAAAAAACTCAGTTTGGATTCAGGCACAGGCTAAGGGCCCAAGCTGTGTTTATTCCACCACGTGGCACAGTGTGACTCAGCGCAGGCCGAACCCTGCTCCCGCGGCCTTCACGCCACGAAACCAGCGTGTTGCACCCAGGCCTGTTTCCCGCTGCTCTGAGCAAGGCTGCCCCACAGAGGGAGTCTGCATCCCCGTTCCCACTGCCCTGGCACGCCGTCCCTTGGCCACCTGGCTCCTATAGGCACTTGAGTCCACCATCTCTGGGGGACAATGCCCGCCCCCTGAACTAAGGCACAGTGCTTCCACTCTGAGGCAGACTGGTGTCTCAGAGCGCGGGGGACAGGGTCAGCTCAGGTCTGAGGCTTCAACACCCAGAAAGACTTGCTCAGGCCCCAGACCGGACCTGACTTCCAGTCTCCTCCGCTGCTTCTTTGCCCTCTGGACAGTGCTGACCTCCGCTCTCTCCCCCTCCGCCTGCTTCCGCCTCCGCCTCTCGCCCCTGCCCTCTGCACCCCTGGCCCCGCCGTCCTCTTCATCCTTTACACGCGACACACCCCTCTCCTCCTGACGCTGCCTTTTCTCGCTCCTGCCCTTCCTACCTCTGCGTGCTCTGCTCTCTGCTTCTCTGGTCCCCCCACCCACAACGGCCTCGACTTCATCCTCTGGGTTCAAGTCTCGCCCCTCCGCAGGCCCCTCCACCGCCTCCCCTCCCCCTAAGGCCCCCAACTCCTGATCCTCCTGCTGCCTCCGCCGCTTCTTCCTTTTCCTGGGGAACTGGTCCCCAAGCCGCCCTGTCCCCGCAGCCTCCTCCTCCCCGCTCCCTACCGCTGTCCCCGCCCTCTCATCTGCGGCCACCTCCTGACGTCTCTTCTTGCTTTTCTTGCGTCTCCTGCCCCCCTGACCAGCTCGCTCTGCGGGCTCCGTGTCTGCACCCCGTCCAGCTGCTGTCGCCTCTTCCTCCTCTTTCTGCTTCCGCTTCTGTTTTTGTGTGAGGGGCTCGTGCTCAGGTGGCAGCCGAGGGATCTCAGGGTCCTGGCCTCTGAGCTGAGCCAGGAAGGCCTGCTCCTGGGCCTCCAGCCGGGCCAGCTTGGCCTTCATCGTGATACCCAGACGGGCAGCCCTGAAACCGACGGGGCCTGAGTCAGGGGGTGTCAGGGCAACAGTCTGTCCTTGAGACTGCGCGGACAGAGGGGAGGGGACAGGCTGCTGTCTTCGAGCAGCCGGGAGTTGGGCAGACAGTGGGTGACAGGAAGTGGCCGAGGAGCCACCCAGGACCTACCTGTGCGCTGTCCGGCCCTCGCAGGCTTGGAGCAGCATCTCGTCAGTCAGACTGTGGGTGGGGAGAGACCAGGCTGACCGACAGCTGGGGGGAAAGCCCGACGTCTCCCCCCCCTTGAGCACCCCCCGACGTGTTCCTGCTGGGGCGGCACTCCTAGGTGCGGGGTACAGAGACGAGCCCAGCGCAGTCCCACCAAAGTCGCCCAGGCAAGCCCCTGACGTGGCCCTGTCCCCTGGGACCTGAAGCCCTCCTCCCACCCGCCCAGCCCTGAAATGGAGTCTCACGTCTGTGGCGGGCAGGACCCCTGGCCGTCATCACTGCAGCTTTCCAAGTGCTCGTCCGGCTTCTCCCCACCGGAAGTCAGTGTGGCCTTCTAGGAGGGATTGTGGGGTGCACAAGGCCCACTCAACACCACAGCCACCCCTCTTCTCTTCCAGAAGCCCCCAAGGATTCACAGCCATGGGTGCAAATTTGCCAGCCCCATCGCTCCTTGCAGCCCACAGGTGTGCCAAACCGCACATTTGAACTTGGGCAGGAGGTGGGCTGTAGGGGCGGGGCGGGGTGTGGGGGGCAGTCCTGGCCTCCCTGGCTCACGGGGCCAGCGGGCAGAGCGAGAAGGGAAGTGCTTTGGGCCATCAGGTCTTCAGGGTGGGGCACGTGCCCCCTGGCGGTTATCCTGGTGCCAGCAACTGATGATGAAGATGGCACCTCCCCCTCCACACCCCAAACCTACGCACAGTCCTTTATTTGGTCAGATTAATGGGGAACGTATTGTGGGCCAAGGACTGCGGACACAGGGAAAACACTGCCATGCGTCCGGCCCAGGAACCGACATGGCCAGGCGGACAGAGTACGGGGGAACCTGTCTGTGCGGGAGGGGTATCCACCCGGATGGCAGGTTTGGGGAAGTTTCTAGAAGCAGCTGAGCTCCGGAACACAAAAACTCAGCAGGTAAAGGACCAAAAAGAGCAGAGTGTCCCAGGCGGAGAGAACAGCACGTGCAGGAACTTGAAAGTGAAAGAACGTGGTCCCTTCGAAAGAACCAGATTCCACCTGGCTGCAGCGCAGAGACCCGAGAAGGGACAGCACACGGGACGAGGGAAGGTGGCAGGGACAAGGCACAAAGGCCACGTGTGCCGGTCTGACAGGTCTGGACTGAGTCGGCCCAAGTCAAGGAGGCATCAGTGACACGTGCGGTCCGTGTTTCAGGACACTCGATGCCTGTGCGGGTGGACCGGCTGCGTGGGAGGCAAGGAGCCTGCGCAGAGGCTGTGAAAGACGTCAGGCCGGAGACGCTGCCGGTCAGGGGCGGTCAGGGGCGGAGGATGCGAAGGGGAATGGGGAGGCCTGCTAGGCGCCGGTAGGGCCCGGCACTTACTAGGGGAGCACTAGCCGGGAGTGCCCTTCTACCAGCTGAGGCCTGGCTTCCAGTCCTTTCTGCCCTGACTAGCCAGCTGTGGGCTCTTGGCCAAGTCCCTCTCCCCGCTTTTGGCCACGTATGCAAAATAAGGAGCTGGGTGAGGTCCTTTCAGGTCTCCTCTGCTTCCAAGTGCTTTGAACTAGGCGTCCCTGCCCCGCCCCCTCTGGCAGCCACGCCCCCTCTGCTGACCACAGGGTCTGAAGATCTCCATTTTTGCTGAGAAGCTGGGCAGTCTGATTAAGCACCAGTAAGACTGGTCACAGGACCCTGCGATGTTAGGGCGGCCCCGAGAACAGGGAGGGCATGCAAGGCAATTGTTCTGGCCCCAGAAGAGACCAGGGGAGGGAAAAAGGACCGAGGGCCCCCCCGCAACCCACCCTGCCAACTACCTTCACAAACTTCTGATACAGCATGTTGGGCTGGGGATGACTTCGATGGGTGGTCTCCTTAGGAAGGCGCCTCAGCTGTACTCCGTCCTGTGGAGAAGCGCTGGTGAGCGGGTGACACGCCATGTCTCCATCGCCCCCACACGTCCCAGGCCCTCATGTCCAGGTGCCCGCCTATGAGAGCCACACCTGCCCGGTTTCCACCACCAAGCTGGCTGCCGTCCGGTTGAAGAGCTCACTCCACCAGTGGTGTGTGAACTCCCTGGCGGGGTCGTGTCCCACCTGCCAGAGGAAGAAGTGTGAACTCTGAGGACCTGCCTCCCATCCTCGAGGGCCTTCCTCTCCCACCCTCACCTCCCTGAGCCTGCCGTCTTACCCCATGGGTGTCCTGCTTCAGCGTCACCCTGAGGGCCTGGGTGATGCCATTCTCCTTCCGGCCTAGGCCTTTGCCTGCAGAAGTCAGAGCGTGACCCGGCTTATTCTGCCTGCCCCGGGCCCTCCAAGGCCCCCGACACATGCCACGCCTTGCCACCCCGCACACCCAGCACTGGGCAAGCGCCGGCCCTCTGGGAAGCCCTCCCAGTCCCGTCCTTCCCGGCACCTGGGCACGGAGCCCCCTGCCCGGGTCTGAGCCAGGCGGCTCCGCCTTCATAATTTCGTGATTGAAGTTTCTTCCCCCCACCCCCAGTCCTCCGGTCCACGTCTTTCTTTCTACCCATTGTCAAATTTCTCCCTCTTCTCGCCTTTTCTGGAAAAGCCAAAAATTTCCTTGTGCACATTTCCCTCGGCCTAGCTTTTCCTCCTCGGCTGAATGGACTGCAGAGGGTCATTCGGGATGATGCCCTCGGGCAGAGGTAGGCGGGGATGCCGGGTGGAGGGCGCCCTCGGGGGTCACCTCGAGTCCATCCATGCTTTAGCAGCTGCTCCTCGGCAAACTTCATCCCACGACTCTTGACCTCCGGGGTGCCACTCATGGTGAGAAAAAAAGTCGCTGGCCTCGGTTCCTCAGCAGAGAAGAAGAGATCACTGTCATCCCCTAAGAGGAAAGGAGAGCGCCCAGATCGCCCATATGGTGAGAAAAAAAGTCGCTGGCCTCGGTTCCTCACCAGAGAAGAAGAGATCACTGTCATCCCCCTAAGAGGAAAGGAGAGCGCCCAGATCCAAATCCACCCCGACTGCTCTCACGGGAATCCTCCCTCCACCCGAGAGAGACGGAGGAGAGGCCTGTCCTTGGGGGCTCCCGTCTGACAACAGAGGCCAACGTCAGTGTGTCGAACGTTACGTTAATAACGCCCACACTCACGGGGAGCTCACCACATGCCAGTCTGTGACGAGTTCCTGCCCTCTACATCCAGAAAGGTATTATTATCCCTACTTTACAAATGAGGAAACTAGGGCCAAAAGAGGTCAGGCGACTTGCTCAAGGTCACGCAGCAACCCCAGGCAGCTTGTCTGCGGAGTCACCACCGCACTGGACCATCTCCCACAGTTTATCACCATGTAATAAAGCAATGAGATGCTCATTAACCTGGGTTATACGAAAACAGTACTTAACAGAGCCCACATCCTACACCCACGCCCCGGCGTGTACACCGTCCTCCTGGTGTGGGGTGTGGGGCTACCCGCCTCTTCCCGGCTGCCTCCATCTTTCAGTCTTGTTGGAGCATCCCTCTTGAAATTGCCCCGCTTAGGAAGGGCACCCTTACTGAAAATTTAACGCATAACAGATGGATTACACATACCATATTGTCTCATTTAATCCTGCGAGATAGGGATCATCCCTACTTTACAAGCCAGAACAAAGCCTGGGTTTCTCGCATGGGGTTACACAGCTAGTGAGAGACAGAGCTGGAATATGAGCCCGGGTGGCCTGACTCCAAAGTGGCCCTCTCTGCGTCACACCCCCAACCAGTCACATTTCTTTAGTGACTCCGGTGCTCCTCCTTTTAGATCCCAAAATGGCATTATCAAACTTTCATACTAAATTTGCCTCTGAAATGGTTACGATGTCCTATCACACAAGACATTCCAAACTAAGACTACCACTGCTGATGTGACTCGCTGAAGTTCACTTCTATTAAGATCATTCGTTACAGGCATTGCAGACCACTTTTAAAGCTAATCAATGGCACTACTTCAGCAATCCTGTAGCCTCCCAAAGTGACAGCTCCGAAGGGTAAAACTTTCGTGTGAATTTAAACATCACTGTCACCCTCCTAAACATATATATAAGGCTTAAGAATGACCATCAGTCTAGTCAGGTATGAAAAACAGCAAATTCAAAATGACCAGCATTTCGGTTCACATTTCTACTGGGAAAGACGATGACCTGGGAACCTAACCGATACCTTGAGAGTCTCGTCAAAAGAGCACTGGGTGGGAGACGGCCCTATCTTGCTCCGTGACAGTGTTCAAAAGAAGTAAAATTCAAACACTGAGGCCACCTCAAAACTCTGCCTCTTCTCAAGTTATCTCGATCTACCAGCCCCCAGATTTCAATAATAACGATCATAACAGGCATTTACTCAATGCCAGCTTATTGTGAAGCGCTTCACACGGATTATCCCCCCGACAACCCCATCAAGAGGTGGTGTTACTGTACTTTACAAGCTAAGAAATGGCACTGAGACGTTACTTGCCCCAATCAAACCAAATAACTGGCGAGTGGTGGATGCAGAACCGCAGAACCCGAGTTCCAGGGACGTTTTCCGGCGAAGCGGCCCCGGGACACGCTTCTCGCGGCGGCTCTGAAGAGCCGGCTTCACTCTCCCAGGCTCCTTCCTCGTGGGACCTAAATCCCGGCCCTCCGGCCGCATTTTTCTTTTACTTGGGGAAAACTACTCTTCTGAGCCCGGGCTCCTACTGCCACCGCTCAGGGGACAGCAGCCCCTTACCTTCACGGCCGGGCGCGCTCCGCGGGACCGTGAGCCGGGTCCGACCTGGGCGCCGCCACCTTCCCGGAAGTGACGTTCGGCCCTTCTAGGCGGCTGAAACCATAGAGACGTAGGCAAGAACCAAAGTTCCGGTCCTCCCAGTAGAATGCGTGGACCGGGCCCCTTGCCTGTATAGTTGCCATAGGAACTCAGCCCCAGAGCGCGCCGGTTCTGGGGGTTCTGGAGGTGTTCGGCTTACTGCCTCCGTGCAGGCCGGAGCAACCGAGGCTTGGTACTAATTGGCCGGCTCTGGGCGCCGAAATCAGCTTGGGCCCCCACACTGAGCCAGCCCCAGGGCACAGACATTTCTCCAAGAAGGACATCAGATGGTCAATAGGCGTGAAAAGGTGCTCAACATCACTAATCATCAGAGAAATGCAAAGTAAAGCACAATGACGTGTTTCACGCCAGTCAGAATGGCCCGGATAAATCAACAAAGGACAAGGGTTGGAGAAAAGGGACCCCTCCTGCACTGTTGGTGGGATGACAAATGGGTGCAGCCCCTGTGGAGAACAGTATGGAGATTCCTCAAAAAACTAAAAATAAAACTACCTATGACCCAGCAATTCCACTTCTGCCTATTATCCAAAGAAATCCGAAACACTAATTAGAAAAGATACATGCATCGCTATGTTCACTGTGGCATTACTTCTAATAGCCAAGATATGGAAGCCACCTAAGTGCCCAACAATAGATGACCGGATAAAGAAGTGGCACATATTACAACAGAGCATTTCCCTTGGCACAGGTGCCACACATAGAAAAATGCTTTGAGGATTGGGGCTCCCTCTTTCTGAACTAGAACTTGGATAATCACGTAAAAAGCAAGAGCCTGAAGGACGCCTGGGAGCTGCGAGGTCTCCGCTATGGCATTTTCATCTCTGAGCCTCCTCCGCCCCAGACACGTGGCGAGGCTCCAGCCCTTCCCAGCGGGGGAGCTGGGAGCCGAGCCCCGCAAGGCGCAGCGGCGGCCAGCGCCGGCAACGCAGTCTTCTTGCGCCACCTTCTGGCGATATGATGTATTACGTGTTATTTAAATCATGACCAAAAAATTCATACACATAATATATATAAATGTATACAGATGACTTGAAAGTTTGAATAATAGATGACAAAATGTTACAAGTAATTTTCTCTGTATGATAGGATTAAGAGGATTTTCATTTTTAAAATTCTTTTATGTTTGTTCAATTGTCTACAATTAAGTGCATCATGTAATCACTTAAAAAAGCAATAAAAGTTGCCTTCCGATTTAAAAATTTGCTATTTCTATGATGAACGCTGGCTTCATTTTAAAAAACAGAAGTTTAATAACATGTATACCTCCTGTAGGCGTGAGAGAGACCCAGGAACTCTGAGCAACTTCTCATTTTTAATTTAAATCTTCGAGCTCCTTGAAATTTATTTACTTTAAGGAATGAGTTACGGATCTTATCTTTCTTTCCAGATGACTAATTAATTGTCCTAACCTCTAGATGTCCATTAACAGGCATCTCCTTAGATAAATTATGCTCCAGACGCCCACCGGAATGCGATGCAGGTAAGAAAGAGAATGAGAGAGCGTTATGTCACTTGCTGATAGGACAGATGTTCACTACATATTAGGCGAAAACGCAAGGTGCGGAACGGTTTGTATAGTATGATCTCAATTAATTAAAAAAGAATATATGCATGCTATATGTTTCTATTTATCTGTATTCTCATAGATTCTTAAAAAGTTTCTGGACAGACAGAAAAACTCGGAAAATGATTTAATTGTTCTAGGGGGAAAAGAAGAAAAATGGGAGGATGGAAGAAAGGATGGACTTGACTTTTCATTTTATCCCTTCGATAGTGTGTGTATGTATTACTTTTGTAATAAATAAAAGTAATTAAGTAGGACGTTGACTTTTCTGTGTGTGTGGTTTTTATGTTCTTTTAAAAATCAGATGATCCCTTAAAATCTATCAGTCTGCGTCTGTGTTTTGATTGATTCTATTCCCTTTGACGCCTCTTCCCCCAACTGATAATAAGGGCTAACTTGTGTTGAGTGTGTTGTAGGAGTCAGGCACTGTCCTAACTATTGATGTCGTCATTGTCGTTATCCTCATTTTCAGATGAAAAAAACAAAGCAAAGAGAAGGTAGGCAAGTTGCCTAAAGCTGTCCAGTCAGTAGGTAGCGGGGCTGAGCTTTATCCCCACGATTCGAGAGCCCGCGGGACTTAACCCCGAAGACATGTCGCCTTTTGGTTAAGTTTGCAAACATGTGAAGAAAGTTCCAATTTTATTTATTTACTCGGTAAACATTTTCTGAATGCCTACTGTATGCCAGGTGAGAAAGCTGTTAGGTCATTTCTTACTTTTGTTAAGGAAGGGTCTTAGTGCCATTGCTGGTCCCCTACGGGCTGGACACGCAGTGTCCTGCTGTCACTGGGCTGCGGTCTTCTTGCGGGGAGCCTGTGCTAGCTTTTGCAGGAAAGCGAGAGCACTAGCGTGTTGCTCTCAATCTAGGGAGGAAGAAAACAGTTATTTGTTAAGTCCTGCCAGAGATTTATTTAGCTCATTAATGAGGGAATCAGGAAGACCAAAGAGCTGCTTTGAAGAGCATTCGAGAAACAGGGGTCTAGAGTCAACAAGAGAGGAATGGCAAAATGAGATTGCTAATTTAGCTCTAAGACTGGTCAACTTTCTGGGACAATAAAACCAAAGCCCTTTGTCTATCGGGTAATAAAACTCTCTCATTTTGTCAACGTCTGTAGGTGAACTACTAACCGTACAGGACTGTAAAAGTCTGCATCTTTGTCAGTTGTAGATTACTTATCCTATACGCTGTGACAACAAAGTCACATTCCCCAAGAGAGTCAGGTGGGTGTCAAGCAATGTCTCTGGACCATGCTTTAGAGCGATACCAAAAAGCCCCAAACCAAGCGATCCTCGCGTTGGAGTTTCCGAGTGTGGGGGACCTGATCCACATTGGGGTACTGAGCAGCTGTAGGACCTTGAAAAAGTCACCAACCTTCTCGGGACATCAGTCCCCTTGTCCACGAACCGGGAAGCATAATATTGTGCCAGGATCGACTTCTCCCATGCAGAAGAATGCAAGATGGGGCTCGCTGTGCTGGTTTACATTATTCAAAATCTGGTCTGAGAATGGTCGCCAGCTTTAATACTTGCAAATCTTCTCACCTCTGGGTTTAAGTTTGACCAGCGTGAGACTGGGCGTGTGTCTGTACCGACGCGTCAGACCGGCCTGAACCTGTCGGGATGAGACTGCAGGCGGGGTGTGCCAGGGCGAGAGCCTCGTGGCAGGCAGGGCTATGACACGAGCAGGGGGCTGCAGGTGTCCGCACGGGTGGCTGAACAGAGATGGAGCACTCGCATGTAGCAGTGACCTGACCGTGACAAACGGAATGAAAGGTGACACTGACTCTTCCGGTCCTTCACTGATGATCCCAGTAGTAAACTGGGATCATGCTGGCCAACTCCAGGGGTCAAGAAAAACTAGTCAGCAGAAAGTGCCTGGAGGGCATGAGCGGAGCCTGCGGTGTCAGGGCCCCTGCTGGTCCTTCCTGAACCCGCCTCGCCTGGTTAGCAGGCAGCCCGAGTGGCAAAGGCCTCTCTCTTCAGAAGGTGCCAGCCCGTGACCAGGTGCGAACTCAGGCCTGAGCAGCCTCAGTCGATTCCTATTTCCAGTGTCTTGGGGGGAACTGAGAATGAAAGTGACCTTGAGCGAACTAAACGCTGCCCGGCCACGCACCGTGTTCATTCCTGGTCTCACCCACCCTCAAAGCGTTCTTTCCGCGCGCACCACTGCGTTCCAGGCTCCCCCCGGGCGCGAGCCTGGCGTGGCGGCAGGGCGGCTGTGGCGCCTTTAGACTGTCCCCTCTCTGCGGGAGGCTGTTTGTTTGAGTTGGGCGGAAGCCAATCAGATGCCTCGGATCAGAGTGTCCTGGCCCAGGAGACAGGCGGTCGTTTGTCTTCTGCTGGCCCTTGGGCTGGGAGGGGGAGGGAAGGGCTTAGGACCAGGGCTGGCGCGCACTGGGAAAAGACAGCCAAGTTCGAGGGAGCGCCGTGGGGGGTGGGCCCCCGAAATTGCCTCTGGCCCCCGTGGAGAGCCCCGCTACTCGTCCGACTTGCAGTCCGCGGGGTCACCCGGAAAGCGGCAGGTGCCAGGTCTGCGTCCACAGCTGCGCCTGCGCGGTCCGGGCAGCCCCGCCCGCTCCTGCCCGAGGCCCCTCCCATTCGGAAATGTGCGGTTCCAAACACGCGAAACTGCGGTGCGGGGATGCTCGGGGTGGGAAAAGCGGACGGAGAGCGAGCGGAAGCCCAGGACGCTCGGACGGGGCCGCTGCGGAGCGAGTCGCCTTCCGCCGGGGCAGCAAGCGCCAGGGGCGCGCTCGTCCTGGCGTCGGGAGGTGTGTCTCGGCGGGGGTGACACGGCGTGCGCGTGCACGTGTCCACGTGCATAGAACTGTGCACTTTGTTGCCTGTAAATGACACACTAGAGAGGTGTTGAAAGGAGCTTCAGCTCCGCCAGGGGGTGACACTTCGGAAAGAACTTCCTCTGCAGGCGCGAGCTCCACCCAGCGGGGAGGGGATCCGACTTCAGGATCGTCGCCCTGAGTGACAGAGGATGTGCCGGGCCTGGGGAGCGAACAAGATGACCTCGGTCTCGGAGAGCTTCCCAAAGTCTTTCCATCCTCGGAACGCCCCATGTCCCTTCCCAGGGATGGAAAAGTCCTCCTTGCTGGCTAATCCTCGTCTTCCCTGTTGCAATTCCAGCCTCTCGCCCCGCCGTCCGTGGAGCCGGCCTCCTCCCTGGCCTCACGCAAATCTCCTTAGAGCCTTGAAACTACGAGTATTGAGGGGACCCCATCAACCTCACCCGCGGTTCTCTCCCCGTCACCCGTTCGGCTCTCCTTGGGGATGGCGGGTCCTGGTCTAAGCCCGCCCCCACCCAGGCCCCTTTTTCCGGTGGCGTGTGCCAGCCTGTCCCGCGTCCCACATCCCCAGCTGTTGACATTTCGTTGCCATTACCCACAGGACAAAGAAAGGGCCCCTGTTGTTCAACAATGGGGGAAAGACTGAGACAATGGGAAATTGTGCTTCCGATGGGGTGGGGACAGAGAAGGAAAGGTCCGACAGATGGACAGACGGGGGACTGGACAGAAGGGCTCAGGTTTCTTGAAGCAGCTGGAGGTCCCGAAGGGCCTCTGGCTCCCACCTTGGGAGCCTCTTGCAGTGGGAGATGCACACCCAGGAACCGGGGGGCAGAGGTGAGGACTTCGCTGGGGCAGGAGGGGGGAGGGGTACTCCTCGGATAAGGCCCATAAGGAAAGTGGAGGCAGCGGAGCTTGACAGCTGCGGGTCTTCAGCCTGATCTGTAGTCCACCCCCGTGCCCATTGGTCCGACGTCCTCATACTGCTACTTGATTCACCGTTCTCTGGTCCATGAGCATCTGGAAGATGCACCCCACTCTCTGCACCCTTCCAGGTGATCGTTCCTGGTTGCCTCCTTTACTCCCTATCCCTTCTTGGGCCCCCACCCCTCATCCCAAGCCCAGCATCTCCCCCTGGGCCCAGGACAGTAAACACCACAGATATAGTGCTTGGTCGCAGGGCTGGACACCTGTCACTTAGCCTGCTTCGTGGACAGATGAGTGGCGGAGTTCTTGGCACTCTGGCTGCTTCTGTGAGCTTAGGGCAGAAGCCTTTCCGCCAAAGTGCAGGGGCACCTGTACTGACCAGGTGTGTTCACATCCGGCTCTCGGGTCCCTGGACCTCCCAGGGGCCCACACGACTCCTTCACCAGGAACCCCTTCCTCCAGCAGGACAGAAAGCTGCCCGTCACCGCTCCCTCCACCTCTGCGAGGAGACCAGCTTCTAACAGGTAGGCACGGAGCTACTGGCCTCTCGTTCCCTGTAAGGGGTGCGGAGCTGTGTGTGCACCTGTGTGTGTTGCAATAGGAGCGTAAGCCTCACCGTCAGATCCGGATTCAAACCCTGGCAAACCTCTCCTCTTACAAGCTGTTTGGTCTCACTGGAGTTTACTAAAACGTGTCTGAGTGTATATATTGGGGTTCACGATTGGTCCTGCCCGGTAGGATTGCTGGGAGGAGTCCTATAAAAGTATATGCGTAAAGCGCTTAGCGGCGTCTCAGGCACATTAAACTCCAAGCTGGTCGATGCCAGCTGTCACCACGACCGGTCCTTCGGTCAGCCTAGGCGCCACTGTCACTCTGCTCACCAGGTCCTCCTGGACAGAATTGGCTATGTCTCTCATGTCCCTGTCCCAGATACGTTCCTTTCTAACCATCGGGAATGCGGTTTGTGCCTGACCCCCATTTCTCCTGCTGCAAGCTCGTCTTTGGCCTTCATTTACTAGAAGATGGGGCTCAGATCCTTAGCTTTCTGACTCCTCAGTGTTCCCCAGGAGTCCTTCATGTAAGCTCAGCCATTCTCACACACACACACACACACACACACACACACACACAGCACCTACTGCATGCCAGAACCTGTGCTGGGAGCTGCAGGAATGAGCTGACACATACACAGCCCTTGCCACGTTCCAGGTACCGTTTTGAGCAGTTTATATATATTATCTTCATCAGATCCTCACAACTACCACGTTTTACTGGTGAGGACGTAGGGGCAGAGAAATGTTAAAAGGAACTTGTTCAAAGTCACGCAGTTAGGAAGGGGAGGCATAGGATTTTAAAAATGAATGAAACTAGGTTAAGGGATCCTCAGTTTAAAAACACGGTCAAGCTGGTGAAGGAGACATACAATAAAGGGGAAATCGTCACTGAAATAGACAATCGCCCTTGACATCTTTTTTATAACTTTATCGTTTTATACTTTATAACTACTGGAAACCTACTGACATAGTTTACATATGAATTTGTATTACTTTCAAATTCAAACTGTTAACTTAGTTGCTAATAAAAGTACTTCTAAGAAAAAAAAGTCCCCAGCCCAGCGCAGTAGGGGAACCTGGCCACAGTGTGGCAAAGTGGGGGAGAGGGAAGGCTTCCCCGGGGGTGAGACCCAAACTACACCTGTGAGGAGGAGCTGAGACCAGAAGTCGAACATGCCTGGGCGCAGGACGGGGGGGCAGGAC